CCCGGTACCAAACGACTCACGGACCGGTACCGGTCCGAGGCCCGGGGGTCGAGGACCGCTGGTCTAAACAGTCCATGCATGATCACGTTGCCCCGCCCATCAGAAAGTCGCCTGCGTGAATATATCGCCTATCGTCAGAAGAATATTACCGAATGTTATTAGCTGTAAACAAAAGCCGACCTGCACCTAAATCTGCTGTCAGAGAACATGACTGGTTTAAAGCTCTGAGCTGAAGGAACTTTCTAGATAATGCCATTATCTGCGTCTACCTTAATGACTTGATTATTTAAATATTTAGACAAAACCGATGACAGTAGGAACCTGAAATGTTCCTTTTTTTTGCATTTTCTGTATATCAGTCTCTGAAGTTAACTTTGAGAATTCACATTATAAAATAATAGCAGAATATTATTGATTCCACTGTTTTGCTAGAAACAAGTGGAAATATCCACCCAGTCACAGGAAGCGCGACGTTTTATGTAGAGTTTAAATAAGATGTTGATCCCTAAAAATGTTGCCGAAGCACAAATGTGTTTGATGTTTGACTGTATGGGCATCAAGCCTGCAGTATGCTCGTGGGAGATATGACTGCGATGCAGAAGAAGACCTTGTTGCTTGTTGTTTAAATGATAGAAGACACAGTTTGGTTTTGTTTGCACCGCTGTAGCTAGATCCCAAAGATATGATTAAGACTCTCTCCATGGTGGATACAATGATGTCCTGTACTGGAAGGATTGTTGTGAACCGGAGCTCGTCTCTCTGCTTTGTTAGTGTATAAATCTCCTGAATATGAGTCCCTGGGCTTCGACTTGACAGTGGAGCGCCTGGTATCCATCGGATATCCACAGGAGCTGCTGAACTTTGTCTACGATCCCTCCTTCCCCACCAGGTAGGTTCACAGATCCCAGCGTTATTATTTCACTTCACCATTGCACCGAATGGTGACTGTCAAGTGTTTCTGTTTTCACCTGTTTCCGTGCTTCACAGAGGTCTGGTGTTTGACACAATGTATGGGAACCTGCTCAAAGTCGATGCCTATGGAAACATTCTGGTGTGTGTGCATGGGTTCAACTTCCTGAAGGGGTAAGGTCCGTTACTCCCACTTTGCTTTGAACTGGGAAATACAAACCTCTGTGTCTTTAAATTCAGCTTAGGTGATGAAAACTGTTGAAACTTGACTGTCAGAGGAAGTGCTGCATGCTGGTGTTTCTGCAGAGCCCAAAACCTTTCGCTAGTGTTCACCAGTACGTTCACTGGTTAAGCCTGTTGGGGGGACTGTTGACGTTGTCATTGTGATTGTGGATCAGGTCAATATTTCTCTACTTCAGCAGCCAATGAATCTTTCTGTGCTGAAGGTCAAAACTCAAATACAGGTGTTGTGGACATCTTCCAAGTACAGCTGAGGCAGGAGTGTGATTAGTTTCACAGGCAGTCAAACTACAGTATGATGGTGCTGCTGAGCTAAAGCACCCAGGAGCCATTCATTTCTTTAGCAGCTTAATTGTGGCTAAAAATGCGGCACACTGGTTTGCCTGTGTGTCCGGCTCATGAGCAGCACATCTGGGGGAGCTACAGACCAAAGAACTGAGCACACTGGATTTAATCTGCCAGCAGTTTTCTACCAGTGACGGACTTCTTGAACTCATCCCTGTATTCCTAACAT